AATGAAATAACTGATGAAACAATAGAGTAATTATTCAATAAAGTAATGCATAAAATGTTCTGGTGTAAATTATCTTGTTATACCTATGATTTTGTTTAAAAATTTAAATAAGGTGCCATTTAAGAGAATATAAGCGACTACATAATGCGTAACCGTAACGCATCCATCTGCAGTACACTCACGTTAAAGTAGCGGTAGGAACGCCCAGGTTACACGCATTCTACACACACGTGTGTCAACCCCACTATCGGTTGCCATCTGTAACCAAAGTTTTGATCCAATTGATGGATCGACCAAACTACCACGAGATCCTGCGTGCCCATAGGCTTACGTTAAAGTAGCGTTTCCAGAAAAAGCCCACCTCGAAAGCCCAGTACCGCTAGTTTAACATGAGTCTACTGTATTTAATAAATTTCAACCTTCATGTTAGAATGTCTTCTTGGAATTCCTGTAAGCATTTAAAATCAGCATTTAAGTGGTTCTAAAGACTTTTACTTCTTTAAGCATAATCAGAACAAATTGGGTTGACGCAGTCAACTGTCAATAATTCATATTATTAATATTATAATTGTTACTATATTATATTATTTTTTCATTTTTTACCGTTTGTTTGAAAAAGACCAGCATAACAACGCCACTAGGAACCAAATTCTAATTAGAATTAACGAAAAAATTATTATTCCCGTATTCTTAACACGAGAAAGGAGTACCTTCACTGTTACAAAATTATTTAACAGAAGCTTGAAACTACATATGTACATACATATATACTTAAACCAAATAGCTCATGATAATCACGAGTAATTCGTATATGCTGATTACTAACTCTGAAATGACATGTATTTCACTGTAGAATTCAATAACATATCAATAATTAATACTGACAATCATCCATTATGACGATTATTCATTCAATGTGAGTACTACAACTGTATAATCAGTATTATGTAGTATCAGTCTATTGACAGTACACCAGAGTTTCAACTGTTATAAAACAACTGCCAATCGACCAACAATGGTCTGCTTCGATCTTTACGCACCAATTCTATCTGCCATCCACCTCAGTCGTCGCCAACACGCAAAAATTCGCTATTATCCTAATACAACTATCCTCTGAAAGAATATATCAAAAATAAGTTTGTATTATCTCTTTCGAATATGTATCTTTTTCTTTTTGTTTCCACTCCATGAAATCCTTTGGATAATTTGTCTTGTATTATGTTTTATATTAAAATTTATGTTCATTTGTATCAATAGAATAAATAAAAATATCATTTAACAGCATCTTTCCTATGGATTTGTTTTTCTAATTATATGCGGTGTTACAATTGTACCTAAAGGCAAGAACAAAAGTAACAAATTGAGTCATTTTATAGAAATTGTTTGAAAAAACTGGTGTAATATATTCCAAGCTTTAAGTTTGATTATGTGGTCCAATAAGAACAAAGTTTGACATCTTGTACTAATTGTTTAAAAATTCTATAAACTTTAAAAGTTACAGCTTCGAAAAGACAATTTGTTACGTTTCTCCCTAGTCTCTTCTACAGAAACCTTATCAATGAAACCCCTAATCTTCCAGCATGTTTTCAAGAATTTCCAAATCGACTGAAATTTTCATCAGACGCTAATACCGGAAATCTCTCGAGAATGAAGCCGCGAACTGAAAGAACAAGCATTCGGATCGAATGATTGCCGAATTCGCTATTGGTCCCGGAGGTTACAATCATTGCTCGACGCGCATCATGGCATTGGAAGCTTTTCAGTTCGACGACTTGTATGATGAAACTCGCGGTAATTTCGATTCCAGTATAGCAATCGTGAGAATGTTCCGGCATCGATGACCCGGTATCCATCGTCCCAGTCAGCCGTCAACGGTTCTCTCTTTCGCGGCGAACCTGGGAATGGACCGTAAACGTAAAGGAACGTGATTCCATCTTAAGGAACGCTGCTCAAGAGGGGCTAGGATTTGCTGCTCGTTCAAACCAGCCATTTTCCTTCGTTTGATGGCACCGTTAGGCTATAAATATTTCCAGTGAATTTTCTATCCACCTTTTTTCATCGTCGTTCCCGCCGGGTATCGTTCGTAATGGGCGTTGATAGCGGCAGTTTTATGAAACCGACAAAATTAACTTCCGATTAAACCAGTCGAATGTAGCCCTGGAAACTGGAAATCGATCTTATTCTGTGAGAACGTACTTTTGTATTTCGTTTCACCTTAAGAGTTTCTATCGAAGTGGTAAACTGTGCATAAATCTACCTGAGATTTTTGAACATTTCAGAACTATCAAGTTTTCTCGGTTTTCTGATTGTTTTGAAGAAATGGTTATAAATAAGGCGTTATGCAACAAGAATTATACATGTTAAACGATTAAACGTGTAAGGTTTTCGGTTACTGATATCAGGAACTTTAAGAGGTGATTCTATGTGGCAGAATAGAACATAAATCAAGAATGACGAAATTGTGTTGGAAGCTTCGTTTTCAAATTATTAACAATCAAAGTTTGGTGTCTGAAACGCCTGAAACCAACCAATCTGCGTAGAAATAGTGAAAGGACCCCTTGGCAGCGTAGCATTGGCTTACTGTTTCTACATAGATTGCCTACTTTCGGGCGATCGCGATCCCAATTTTAAATGGTTAATAACTTGATAACGAAGCCAGTACACAACTTCGTCATACTTGACTTTCGTTTTATTTTAAGATGTAGAATTGCCCCTTGCAGTTTTTGACACCAGTAGTCAAACGCTGCATGTAATATACATATACAGGATGTCCCAGAATCAGTGGGAAATATTTTAGGGATAATTTCAGCACGTTTAAACGATACAAAAAATGTTGATATGAACTTCTTTATTGTTTTAATGTGCTGAAGCCACTTCTAAAATACTTACCACTTCTTTTGGGACACTCTGTATATACAATATGTATATCTTGTATCAAGATATCGATAGGTACAGGAAAGGTGGTGTTTCTATGTAAAAAAGAAACGAGAAGAAAATACAGAATAAAATTTTTGTTGTAACGTGCTTTGTGTCTGAGACAATTTTTTAATTTTGACCGGTCAGTATTCGTCGACCGATTTAATTTCTTTACAGTTGTTCGCGTAAAGTGTATAAACATTTTACAAGTGTGTAGAAAAATGATACGCTTATAGAGATACCTACCATGTTTTAAAAATTGTTTACCTACTGTTTCAGGGATGATGTAAATATTATTTGAAACGCTTAAAACTATATTTTTTAAAGGAACGTTATTTCTGTTGTTGAATATATAAAGTACAAGAAATTGCATGATATTGAAACTACAATGTGAACGATTTCTAAGTAAATTCCTTGTAAAGTGTTGGATTTGAACCAAATCGAATAAACACGTACTACGTGTTTTCTGATTTAAAAGTATGTAAGCGATTATAACAAACTTTAGTATGATACACTTCCCAGGCTAATATTTTAACACTTGTAAATTCTCTTGATTCGGTTACAGTAATACAGAATTCGTTACGCTTCGGTTCTCTCTGCAACGATTACAGCAACGGGTACAATAATATATGCTCTTCTCGTGTGTGTTAATTATAATCCAACATTTTCAAAACCATACGCATGAAATCTATAATATGTAGAATTGTTTTCCCTTCACAACGTTTAAATTTTTCTGATAGGTGTACTTCATTTCCACAGACTGGCAAATACGTAATTGAAATGAAGAAAGTGTTAATAAAATAATACAATTATTAATGATTTATTGATATCTGTTTCTCGCTTATTCGTTTGGGAGTTATAATCATAAATAACAACTGGGGTTAAATGTTAGTCGAACAAACTCGAAATTTTATTCAGCAATATATTATGTCTGTGTGAATTATAATAAAATTTCACTCCTTTCACAACGTTTAACTTTGTCTAATATTACTTAATTCTCACAGACTTCCAAATACGTAATTTAAATGAAGAAAGTACTAATAAAATACACAATTGTGATTTATTGATATTTGTGCCGTGTTTATTCGTTCAGAAGTTATTATTATAATATTTGAAGGGCAATTAGCCGTCGAAAAGATTCGAAGATTTATTCAGCGATATATCGATTGAAACGGTCCTAAATAATCCGAGTTAACCGAGGCGATAGATCCATGCCATTGGGTTTGCGTATCCATCAGGGCTCTGGCTGCAGGTTTTCGCGGGTACCTAGTTACGGAACAAATTAATGACCATCGAATTTGCAATATCCCGAGGTATAGGTACGAATTTGCACACGCACACGCCGCTGCGAGTGCGCGGATACACATCGATTCGCGTTTATGCTCCCTCAATCGACTCGCCGGTTTAACCCTTTGCTGATAGACTGTTCCTGGCTGAACGGTTAAATCATGCACCTTTCAGCCGTGTTGTGTTTCCTGATTATCATACACACGTTAGGAAAATTGCAACACCATCGATTTTGTAAAACAAGAACGTATTTCGTAGAACTAGCTTTCTGAGATAATCCACTTAATTTTTGTTATTTTTCCCATAAAATATTGAAAACAAGTTTGAAACAACACTAAATATTTCATTCGTTATTCACATTGGTTAAACCTTATCAAAAAGTCAGGGTTACACTTTGTCAGTGCCGAGGAGCCTTCAAACACTCATCGAGGATTTACTGTAACTGAATGTGAAACGGTACTGTTATTAAACGATGTTTCAGGAATAGTACAGATAATAATGGTGTTGTAAACAGGTAACTTTATGTGTTATCGCGGAATTCCAATGATATTCATCCTAGGAAAAGGAAAATATAAATTAATAACAACAGAGTGTGGGCATTTGTGAAATTTCTAATGTACGAGGGCGGATTGAAAAGTTTCCGGAATCGCCACCAGGAGTTTCTTTATTTGTAGCTGGTTTGATGTTGTTATGTTGATACATCTTTAATGAGCATTCACTCCAAAGATTAAAACAATCTATCAAATAGTCTAGTTTTTACAAGTATTTGTGTCGCGCTACTTTACGCTTTTTACGAAATGGATAGAACCGAAATTCGAGCGGTTATCAAATTCTTTCATTCGGAGGGAAAAACAGCAACGGAAATGAAACCGAGGTTAGATGCTGTTCTTGGCAATGCATCACCTTCATTTTCTACGGTGAATTTTTGGGTTTCGGAATTCAAGCGTGGTCGCAGTCACACAATTGATGCACCGTGTTCAGGACGCCCAAAAACGGCTACCACACCAGAAATTGTGGATAAAATCCATGATATGGTTTTGGCAGACCGCCGAATAAAGGTACGGGAAATTGTTGAAGCCGTAAGCATCTCTTATGAACGAGTGGTTCATATTTTACATAACGAATTGGGTCTAAACAAGCTTTCCGCAAGATGGGTGCCGCATTTGCTCAATTCTGAGCAAAAGCGCGTTCGAGCCCAAATGTCAGCTGATTCTTTAGAGGTTTTTAAAAGGAATCCCACAGATTTCAAGAGGAGATTCGTGACTATGGATGAGACATGGATTCATCACTATACCCCCGAAACCAAAATCCAATCAAAACAATGGATTGGACACGGTGAATCGGTTCCGAAAAAGGCAAAAGTCATTCGTTCGGCTGGAAAGGTGATGGCGTCCGTATTTTGGGATGCTAAAGGAATTTTGCTTATTGATTATCTTCAAAAAGGAAAAACTGTTACTGGCCAATACTACGGAATGCTTTTGGACAAGCTGAAAGCTGCAATTCGAGAAAATCGCCCCGGAATGGCGAAGAAAAAAGTGTTGTTTCATCACGACAATGCACCCGCCCATTCAAGTGCAATCGCGCAAGAAAAATTGTCAAAACTGAAGTTCGAAATTCTTCCACATCCACCTTATTCCCCTGATTTAGTGCCCTCGGATTTCCACGTGTTCCCGAAACTCAAAACCTTCCTAGCTGGAAAGAGATATCAGACGAACGAGGAGGCGATGGAGGCCGTGAACGAATATTTTGGTGACCTCGAAGAAAGTCACTTCCGCCGGGTGGGAGTAGAAAAACTAGAGAAACGTTGGACCAAGTGTATTGAGCTGCGAGGGGACTATGTTGAAAAATAAAGTATAACTTAGAACAGATTTATTTCGTTTTCATTGTCATTCCGGAAACTTTTCAATCCGCCCTCGTATACGTATAACCAGGGACTTTTGGCGGTAAGCTGTTGACTGGAAAAATGTGAAAAGGAAAGGAGAGGGGAGCGTTTCGCCCTGGGCCTGCTAGTGGACTCGTCAGTAAGGCTACGTAGCAGACCCTGCCTTAGACGCGGGGATATACGATGGTCGGTTAAGGACGTATATATACGAATGAGGAAGGCTTCAGGTAGTTGCGGGAAAGGTATCAACTCGGTAGACCTCTGATGGCGAATGTAGGAGGTAGTGGCGCCACAGACTTAAAACCGGTATTATTCCCAAGGGCTTAAAATCGGTATGACTTTGATACCGATATTATGTCAGTAAAGGTATACCGAAACCGATATTACGGAAAACCAAAATATATCGGTTTCGGTATACCTTTGGTATTATATCGATATTTTTCGGTTGTACCTTCAAAATCCTAATAGAAATCGAAATACGAAAATACCGATATGATATTATACCGCTGTATAAAAATACCGGTATATGTACCGATATTTACTCGTAATTTTTTCAGTTCATTAGATTCTTGGAGATATATTTTATTATATTTGTACGACGCAAAACTTAAAAGAACAATGTCGACGAATGTATGTGCATGAAAGAATTAAAGAACGTACAATATTGCCAACTTCTAACCATGCCTGTGGGAGTGCATATTGGTCCTTGTCTCGTCGCATCATTCTTTTAATTTAGTGACACGTTCCAATATACTAGACATGATATGCCATTATGTTGAACAGTTTGTAATTGGCTTTTTTGTATCGCCCGTAATAACCTGTTCACTTCTTTGTTTGATTGCATTTGACTTTCTAAAAATTGTGTACCTCATATAAACGTTAATATGAAAATACATAATCTTCGATGCTTTTCACCTTCTTCCTGAATGTTTCACTTATCATAGACTCCTTCGTCGTCTGATTTTCTGTCATCTTTAGCACCTTTAGCTATTGAATCTGAATGACTAAAATCTATCGCTTTAAAAGATTTGATACAAGATTTTGCAAAATTAAAGTCAAGAAAAAAGCATATCAAGTAAAACTGTATTTTAAAATACCTTTTTGATATTTGTCTTTTAATAATATTTATTTGTGAATCATTATTCTTCGTTAAGATTAAATATTTCTTAATTTTATTTAGAATAATTTCAATTTTGAAGATTTATATATTTTATTGCATCCTTCATTACAAAATTCCCCCCACCGTTTTTTAACGAGCATTCTTTCGATTGGTCTAAACACCGATGTGTCGTGACACTTGGCGTTTGGGATCGATGCGTCGTTACGACGATTGTAACTTTTGTAACATTGTAAGGTAATTGTCTTAGTTGTCAATCAAGACCCAGTTCTCGATTATTTTTTTAAATATTGTGATTTTAATAGCATTTTAGTTTCAGAATTATTTTTTACCCGTTTGTGTGCTTTAAGTTTGCTTTATAACTACCCTTTTCTTGATCGACTGGATCGATTAGTAGAACAATTATTGATCGACATGTTCCGACCGTAAATTATTGATCGACGTCTGGGTCATCAAAATGTTTATTCTCAATTCTTCCACATTTAAATACACATAGAATCTAATTTTTTACTTTGTTATTATCTATATTTGTGTTAAAATTAACTGTTAAAATCAAAAAGATTTATTTTTCATTTTTTCATTAAAAAACTGTCGACTTCTTACTAACTGATCGAAAATTGAAACAACTACCTTATTCTTTTACATTCGCGATCACACGATACATAGTACCAGAAAAATGCTGGTAATTACATTGGTTTCTCGATACTACAGTGATTGCAGTACCATATCGGATTCGATCTGGCTTCGCTAACATAATATCGGCTTTAAATAACTGCTTATAAATATCGTGAAAATTGTAATATAATAGAGAACCGACAAAATTACCGGTATAAGGTAAATATACTGGTATTTTCGTATTTCGGTTTCTATAAGGGTTACGAAAGTACAACCGAAAAATACCGGTATAATACAACATTAAGTCATAAATATGTTGAGTCAAAGTTTTTGTGTATGATTTCGATACACAAATTTTACCTTGATATCACACTTTCTGAATCTAAGATTCAGTAATTTTAATTTAAATTTAGAAATTCAACATTTCAAATTTAAAAATTAAAAAATTATATACTTTTACATTTTAAAATTTAGAAACTGAATAATTTTAAATTTAGAAATTGAGAAAGTACATCATTATAAATTTAGAATTTCAAAATGGGGAGTGAAATTGTGAAATTTTTAATTTTGAAATATTAAATTTCTTTTACGAATATGTTTTTCATGGTTGAAACTGTAACAAAAATTGGTAGTTTTGCCCTGATGAATGAGCATAATGCCTTAAATTCGGTGAACGAAGTCCAATGGGAAAATTTTATAGCCAAATGCTCATTTACTAACGACCTACAAAACGCAAAATATGGAATGCTTAAACTATACATCAAATACCAAAGTGAAACGTCCACAAGTGAATTAATTTGCAACGCAAATATACACGCGACCGAATGCCACTCGTTGTTCGATGATAATAATTGACGCGATTTAAGCAATAATTGCCGCATCATCGTGCTGATTCATTACGTGCTTATTTTGTTTTTTAGAATTAATTTTGATTAGCTTTATCCGCAAGAACGCGCCCCGTGTGTTGCGCCAATAATAACGGAATAGTGTGTACATTAATATAAACGTGCGATTCACGCATCGCTAGTCATCCGGGTGCAATTGGTCACTGTTTGAAAAGCGTTTATTGATTATCGTCGATAAACGGTCTATCATAAAACGTGAAGGCGCTTTCCTCTCTGGTCTTCATTGATAATATTTAATTTTACAGTTTCATCACGTGGTTCTGTTTTGCATATACCAATTTTTTTACGATGCTCATTTTCCTTTCAAGTACCTATGTGTTTGTTTATCAAATTACGCGTTTTAATTTATTTTGCAAACCTCCGTGGACGGAAAAAAGTGGCTTTTGCCGCACCCTACAAGAAAAAAATTGGATTTTGTGTCCCCCCCTACCTTCCCAGAGTTACAAACTTTTTACGTAATATTTAATATTACAGTATAATTTGAAACACGACCAACAGCCTCTATTAACAAAACGCATACATTTTCAACGATTTATAACTTTAAAAACAAAATAAAGTGTGTCTGGCTATGTACAGCCTTTTTAACTGTGGCAGTCGATGTTTTAATATTTCTGCCCCCCCCCCCGTCACCACCCTGATTCATAATCTGGCTTCGCCCATATGTAGAATAATCTTTTTTAACACGAACTCTGTTCGAAAAAGAAAAGAACATTAGAAAATTATTTTAAATACAGAAATCGAATTAGTTATAGTGCTTGTAATAATTGAAACAATGAATAATAGGCAGATACTCTATCTGATTTTTATACAATACATTATACCGCAAATAGCAAGTTATTTATCATTTTACACACTCGGTAATGAAATTCCATTTGTCTTCATTCAATTTGTTCCTGTCGTAGAGAATTAACAACTAATTAATACCTACTTCATATTCCTAATTACTAATTACCATCGTGTGATCATTATTCACTGAATTTTCGATATTTTCGACTGAAGTTACTTCTGACTAAATGCAATATTTAAAAGTGATTAAAAACGACAAGAAATTATTGTTATTTTTTAATTATATTTATAGTTTACTAATATAATAGAACAATATTTTATTTAAATTGTACAATACTTTAATTTCAACAATAAATTATATATTTTCTGAATAAGTTGGTATTGTGATAAATATTGTTTTATATCAGCTACGATATACAGTGATTCCGCGATGAATGCGACACGAGCAACGGCGTTATTCCCACCACTGGAGGAGTCCTCCTGTGGAACCAATCAAAACAGAGTAAACCGAAGCTAAGCAGAGGCTCGGCTTCGAACAAAAAACAAAATGAGGGGTAGAAAACCTATCCGCCTTGCGATGAATGTTCCGAAGAGGACCCGAGTACGTCGCACTCATCGAGACATTACTGTACTGCTTATCGGATTAAATTGACTTGAATTGTTCAGCTAGTATTTTTCTTTGGCTCTCTCTTACAAATATTCAGTAAACTGTATTAATATCTCAAGTATTTCGTTATTTTTCTGAAACAGATTGCACATTAAAATGTAATTTACGAAATTTGTTTAAGAAATCGTATAAATACGTTTATTTGTTCACTATTTCGTTGATCCATTTTCTTTTTGCTATTTCCGACCGCAATAGTAGATTCTTGCTCGAATAAACCCGAGTTAAATAGGTTTTAGAATAAAGCCTCGTAAACGGGTGTGCAGCACAATGTATAATAGAACCGACGCGATAATGTCGCGGCGCATCATCGCGTGCATCGGTGCACGCGGCCAGTCTACTGATACGATTTGTATTGTGCGACGGCATTCCGTGTGGCTCGCAATGACACGCACATTGAAAAGTATTGATGCCCGTTGTAATTTACCTTCCGATACGCCAACCCCTCGGACCGATTTCTGCGATGGGGATTCCCTTCGACGGTTAACAAGAAGTTTTTGGTGCAAAACCAATATCAATGATAATAAAAAATACAAACAATAATAATAATAGTTATAACAACAAATATAATTATAACTATAGTAATAAACGATCTTTAATATTAAAGGTTGCAGAAAGAAATATATAACCAAATACAGGTGGAAATGACAAAACATAACATAGAAGAAAATAAAAATGGTGTTATAGGATAAATATTACGTGTATAGCGCACGTAGACGAGTAATGTATTTTAATGGACTAATAGACGAACGAGAGTACAGTAAAGATTGCGTGAACTGCTACTTGTGAATCACTCGTGATTCGATCACGTTCGTTCCCAATCACGGTGATTTTTCACAGTGGTTCGTGATTTCTCGTGATCGCTTCTGATTGGTGGAGAA